ACAAAGGAAATTCTTCAGGTATTTTCACCTTGTAGCACAGGTGAAAGTGAAATACAGCCCTGCTATTTCACACCTGTAAAATGTGTAGGTCTGTCGTGTTCCCTGGTGTCCTTAGTGCCACAGGGCAAGTTGGAGTTGAGTGACCAGCCCTTTGTGAGGTGTTCTGGCTGCAGTGCTGCCTGCCCTGCCCTTAACTTGTAAGTCCTGCTGCAAAATGAGTGTTGTATTAGACACAAATCAAATGTGTTGTACAAAACTCACTCCAAGGTTTTCTTGGATCTTCACCCCTCTATGTCCATAGGTAATTACACCCTGCAGAACATGATAGTAACACCAAGCCTTGCTTCAGGGGTGCAAATTGTGAAAGAGGGAGAATTTGGCTTTCCTACTGAAGTATTAGTACAAATTGTGTACCAGCAAAAGGATTTTGGTTTTAGATACAGACCCAGCTGAGTAAGCAGAACACTGACTGAGCACATGAGGCTGCAGCAGCTTCAGCTCCCTCAGGGAAATTCTGGCCCACCTGAACAATTTCCAGAATAGCTGTGGGTGACTAGGAGTGATACTGCCCTGCTGATCATCAGGTGGTGCTCCCCACACAGCTTTGTAGAAGGCTGTAAATCAAAGCTACAAATTCCCAGGTGTGAGCACATTTTGGAGCTGGAACACTCTGGGCTCCAGCAGACCTGGTCCTGCAGGCTGGCAGATCTGGCTCTGCTGTGGCCCCAGCTCGGTGCCCTCTGTGCCTGGGAGAAGCAGCAGCGGTTTGTGTTGAGCCCTCACTTCCTGCCTCGCTCAGAGAAGTGCACAACAATGGGGCCACTTTTGTTCTGTGTTTTTTCCTTCTTGTACTTTGCTATTTTTAGCAGGGCCGGCGTGGCCTCTCCTTCTCAGGCCGAGTGACGACTTCTGCCGTGTTTGTGCTGAGCTCATTGCCCTTGGCGTAACCTTTTCCAGTGCAGTCTCTTGTTGCTTGTTTCACACAGAGAAGCTTTAAATTAGTGTAGTTTTTATGTGTATCACACTATACAGGATGTGAATTTTTTCTAAATCACTGAAGGAAACAATGCAGCATACCTGGCTTTCGTTGTTGAATTGATCAGGTTTCTAAGAAATCTGTTATGCTGCACTTTTGTTTTCTGTGCCACACATGGAGTGGAGTGTTTGCCTATGCTTAGATGAGTGTTACCTTGCAAAACACTGAACTAGGAAGCTGCTGTTTTTGTTTTCCTCTTCCCTGGCTTCCTTAACACAGGGGAATGCTTCCTTACCAAAATGAGGTACTTGAGGATGTAATAACACATCCTCCAAGCTCGTGCTGGGAACGCTGTAGAGAAAAACCATGTGCTGCATAGATAACTGGAGAGTAAAAAATGCGATGCAAGAATATCATCTATTAATGAAACCCCTTCTTCCTTTTGTTTCTCACTCTCTCCCATCCCTCTCCCTGTGCTCCATGGGCTGAGCAGGCCTTTGGAGCGTGGGGGCACATCCCAGCTCAGACACAGCCTCGGCACGCGGGTCCCCGGGGCTGAGCGAGCGCCCCAGCAGCCTCTGACCAGCCAGCAGCCCGGCCCTGCCTCCTGGTACTCTGGCCTCTGTCCCTGCCTCCCAGGCACAGTGTCCTTTCTCCTTCTCTCTGCTGCCTCTTTCCCTCCCACTCCGGCCACAGGGGGTCATGGAAGGCGATGCATGAAATGCTCCAGGGGATGAGGGAACTGCAGGCAGCCCCTCCAGGCCAGGGGTGTGGCACAGCCCCTTGAGCTCCCAGTAGTTAGCAGTGAACAGAACCACAGCCTGGAGCTGGGGCTGGCTCTGGTGTATTCTTCTCTCTCTGTTCTTTTTTTTATTATCTGTCCAGATAAATTAAATTACAACTCTGTTGGCTCATGGAATCACAGAACAGTTGGAGTTAGAAGGGACCTTAGAGCCCACCTTGTTCCACCCCCTCTATGGGCAGGGACACCTTCCACTAGCCCAGGTGGCTCCAAGCCCCATCCATCCCAGCCTGGGACACTTCTAGAGATCCAGGGGCAGCCACAGCTTCTCTGGGCACCCTGTGCCAGGGCCTCATCACTCTCACAGGGAAGAATTTCTTCCTTAAGGAAGAAATCTTTGAGGTTTGAAGGTCCTTCCCAACCCAAACCATTCTGTGATTTTATGAACAAAACACATAGTTGCTGCTTCTTTCCGCCATTGCAAAAGCAGCAGGAGTTTCACATTCTCAAGGTGGAACATTCACACCTGACAGCTGAGGTCCCTCAAGTATTTATACAGCTGGGGGTCAAATGAGATCATTTGTATCCCAAATCCATGAAAAAAGATATGTGCTTATATGGTATCTTCCAACCTGACCAAATTATTGTTTGTTAATGCCTAAAATAAAAGTGACATTTGTGTGAGAGGCTTTTTAAAACAGAACTGCCCAGGTTCAAACCCCGGCCAACAAATGTCAGGCTTGGAGGAAGAGATTAACACAATTTACTGCTAATGAGGGATTCCTTTTCCAAGCTGTCACTACTTGAATATCTTCCTGATGTCTCACTGGAATGTGTGCAAACCCAACACAGTGTCAGAGCATCTCACAAGCTCACAGTGAGTGTTTAGACATTAAACTAAAACCATTCCTCCAGGCCACGCTGAAAACTTTGCAGCTGACCTAGAGAACATACAATGAAATGTGTGTTGTTCACCTGAGTGTCTTATTCAGGTTATTCTCAGGGCTTTCTCTGCCTTGTTAGTAAAGGGTTTAATCAGTAAATTGACTTTTTAACGAGATAGGGTGCAGGGGGCAGATTATTCATTAACTCCACAGCAGAAGAGGAATTGAAGTGAACTTGGAAGACCTCTCTCCACTTTTAGTTTATTTGGAAGAACTCATGTGACTTGAGACACATGGAAATACTCCTTTTAAAGCAATTTTCCTGCATTGCCAAAGTGACCCCAGTGTGTTGCTTCTCAGTGCATTTGCAAGTGACTGATTTTTTTGCACCTTTGGTGTTGCAAGAAGATCAAATAAATAATGACTGTGGGGGTGGGTTTGGGGGCTCTTTTTGCTTGAAAGGGCACTGACCTACCATAACCCACACATGCTGAATAGTTTTCTTGAATGCTTTGTGATTTTTGAGATTCTCTTGCTTAAGATTGGATCATGTGAACTAACACTAAAATTGAATCTTTGAAGCATAAAAGTGAGTATTTTGAAATGAGAACTGTGAGAGAGCACACTAACACTGCACTATTCACAGCAGTTTATGGTAAATAGTTCTATTTTGAAGAGACCAGTTTTTATTTTGTGTATAAATCAGAAGTGAAATCTATGAGCATTTATGGAATCTGCCTTTGTTTTATGAACTAACTCATCAGAATTAGTGAATATTTAGTCTAGAACCCACAGACTGTGAATGCAGTTGGTAGTTTGGGGATGCATGTGTGTGAGAGCTCTGCCTTGTCTATTTATTGGTTATCAATTAATCCAAGAAGGCATCTTGGTGTTCTGAATTTGCACACAAACGGAGACATTCCCAACAATGTTTTACATAAAAAGTATGGACAGTTATTCCTTCAAACCAACTCTGAAGAACAATGAAAATCTAAGAAATACTTTTGCACTGTTGGTTAAGTTCCTGCTTTTTTGTGAAGTCACGTGGTTGTTTTTAAAATAAGTCACCGAGCAGGGAAGAGGGAAAGGAGTCTCTACAAAATGAATAACCCAGAGCATCTTTCTGCAGCTATATACCGTGCTCCGAGAGAATACATGTGGCAGTGACAGAAATGGCAGCTTTGTTCCCAAAAGTAAGTACCTGCCACCATCAGAACGGTTTCGGCCTCGTTCCTCATGTGTCCTTCAGAATGAAAATCAGAAATTATTTCCCTTCAAAATGAAAATGGTAGAGAGAAATGATGGGGTTATGATGGACCTGTGTATTTATTAGCATGGGAACTGGGAGGGGCTAAAGTGTGAGTACAGGCCTTTAATTGAACTCTTGAATGTAAAACTCTTTAAGAATTGCACAAAACTGGAGGTGCTTGGATGTGGCATGAAGAGTTGTGTGGTTATATGGGAATTTCACCAGACTCATCACCCCCTTTTCCATCTCAGTGCCATTGCCTGCATTTCTTTCCTGCAGCCACCTTTAGATCTGCTATCCATCCATCAAAGTGATCTGTTTGCTCACAGCAGATTTAGGGAGTGAAATCCCCACGACTGAGTTCTTGTAAAGTCTTACTCACCTCTCCAAAACTGCGAGGAAAGAGCCAAGGCTGCTGTCCCGCCTGCATCAATCGTCCTGGACATGCTGTCCCCTCCTGCCAGCCAGGACGTGGGCTGGGACAGTAAACAGGCACCAGAAATGTGCATGAGTAATTTCCTAAGGGGAGGGCATGGAGCAAAACTCCCTGCCTGCTGCCTGGCAGCCTTTGGGAATCACCCTGAAAGGAGAAATTCTGGCTGCTGCCACGAGGGGAAGGCAGGGCTTGTCCACGGCCGCCCCGCATCAAAGAACCCTTGTGAGCACTCCCGGCTAATTAAAAGGTTGTGTTGTTCTGCCTGTTCCAGCGTCTGTTTTCCCTTCCCAGAAGCCCAAGTCGGAGCTGGTGAGGACTTCCCTGCGCCTGCTGACATCCAGTGCCTACAGACTGCAGTCGGAGTGCAGGAAAGCGCTGCCCGCCGAGCCCAGCCCCGCGCCCGACATCCAGCTGGTGACACAGCAGGTCATCCAGTGCGCCTACGACATCGCCAAGGCTGCCAAGCAGCTGGTCACCATCACAACCAAAGAGAACAACAACTGAGGCACTCGGGGCTTTTTACTCTGGGGTTTTTTAAAGGTTGGATTTCAACATAAAGGTGTGGAACTATGCGCATTTTTACGAGGAAAAAAACTTCGAGGGGCAAGAAGCTTTTTTTTTTCTTTTTTTTTTTTAACTCAGTATTATTTTTGCATGTTTTCTAACAATTTTATGATTAATTTAACCCACTGCCTTATTTTGTGCCTGTGTTGCCAGTGTAGTTATGGGTAATAGCATGTTGCAAGTAGCTGTCGAGCCACTCTCACGTCCCAGCGCTGTACTGAGCTCTTGTAGATGTTTCCTTGGGGCCACGTTCTGCTTTCAGGTCCTGCTGGTGGAACTGCTCTGACACCTCTGCACGGATGGGAGGGCATCATCTCCATCCCTCCAGAGCCTCCCCTGCCAGGATCCCGCTGGCTGAGGCTCCCCAGGCTCCGGGACCGCTCCCAGCAGGAAGAAGGTTTGTCCTGGTAACGGGGTACAAGCCCAACATTCTCTGTTCCCATATCAACTGTTGTGCAATATGTTTTTTTTTCAGTCTGCTAAACCAGTAGTAGTTGTGGGCATCCAAGCTTGTTATGTGTAACTCTACAAGGTCTTTGTCACTTTATCTGTTTTGGAAGGAATTTGAAACTTAATAGTTATTTCTTTTAGTTGTCACTATGCCATTAATATATATGTTTGATGTTACTTTAGGGCATTAGTGGTTAAAATATTATCCTTTGTTTCTGAGTTAGCAATTCATTGTTAAGTTTCCTGCAGAATTTTCCTGTCATCTTTGAGGCACCGTCTCGTTTGCAGCAGCATTTCTCAGTAACTCCAGATGCAATTTCACTAAAGATTTCTGTGCTCATTAACAAAAAAAAGGAAGTTAGAAGAGTGCCAGTGCAAAAGCAGCTGTGTCTGCCACAGCACATAACCTCTGTACCTCAACATATCCAAATGTGAAAACATTTCTCATATCTCCTAAGATTTTTATGCAAATCTTTCAAAATTTGACGGAATAACCCCTGCCAGGCTGCCTGGCCCCAGTGTAACAGTTCACAGAAGTGTGTCAGTCCATAATTTCAAAAATGAGAATATTTTTGGGAGTCTGAATTTCAGGTGGTGCAGGAAATCACTGATTTTTGCCTCTGCCTGTGTCCCATTTGGAAGCATTGTCACTGCTCAGGAGCCAGCCATGGTTTGTGTGGATATATCCAAGCACAAGTGCCATGGCAGTGCTGGATTCCTGGTGCTGTGTGGCTCCCAGAGTCTGAGGGAGGGAAGGAATGGAGAGAGGAGATGACAGCCCAGTAAATTAATGTTCTTCATTGGGGGTTTTATTTCCTTTCTGCCCTTCTGAACCCCAGAAGCAGCTCTAGCCTGACAACAGGCTGGGATTAAAACTGCAAATGACCTTTGTGAAACCTACTTCAAAATCATGCAATTGGTAATTAATTAAATACATTGGGATTTATCTAGGAACTTTTCCTTAAATTGTCATGGCTGAAAGGCAGCAGATGGTGTTTTTCAGTCTCTCAGGACAGCGCTGTGTGCTGTTCTTTAACATATCTTACCTGCTTTCCAAAGCAGGGTGACACTGAGTTATGGTGTAATTTATCACTTATTTAAACCTGTCTTTGATCCAAATCCAAGGGACACTTTAGTAACTGCCAGCCCCTGCTCCAGCTACGCTGAAATCAGAGTGGTCCACACCCCACAGGAACCCCCAGCAGCAAGTTCCTGAACCCTCCACTCACAGCATTGCAGTCACAGAGTTTGTAGCACCTCAAGTAACAAAGGTGTGTTTTTCTTTTAGGACTAGATTTCCTCTTGTTCCCCTGTAAACAAACTTGCTCTTCCTTTACAAAATGCTGCAGAGGAAAGGAGAAGCTTTTTTTGCCTTTTTCCAAACCTTGTATTTATCAGTGTCATTCTGTCTGTACAATATTTTGACTTTTAATCTTTTGTTTACAGTATTACTATAAAATGCAAAAACCCTTTCAGTGTGTGATATAATGTGGGCTTATTTGACTGCTGGTCCTCTAAAGATCTTTGGAAAGATTTCTACTCTTAAGTGCTAGTCCTTGTCACAGCCCTGTAACAGCTCCTTGTGCACTGTGACAGGACTGATGTCAAGCTGCAGTAGTGCATGGTAATAGCAAGGGATGAACTGCAATAATTAACTCAGTCTCCTCTCCTGTTGCTGCAGTAGTTTGCTCATGTAAAAAAAAAAAATCCAAATCCTTGTTCAGGTTTTAATTATTCATTATTTATTAAACAAGTGAAAAACAACATTTAATGAAATCTCCAGGATGTTCTGGAGAGGAATTGGACAGGCACTGCTGCCACAGCACACATGACCTGACTGATTTGCAATGTGCATTATGAATTAACTCCTCAAAGTCCAGTGGAAGCACAGGCACAGCCTGATTCTCCAAGGTGGGAGTCTGACACAGCCTGTAGTGTTTCTCAGCTCCTGTTCCTGGGGAGACACAGATTCCTTTGTGGCTCAGGTCCACTGGTCCCTTTTATTTACTGGGTTGCTTCAGCCTCTCGTACTAAAACACATGGGCACAACTCCAGAATGCAAAGTGAAGCAGTTCACTCCTCTGAAGGTGCCACAACCTCCACGTTCCTGAAGACAGTAGAACTTTTCTCCTCTTCAGCTTGGTCACAACTAAATGTTTCCAGAAATCTACTCAGTCAAGTCCTGAGCTCACTGTGGGCTATTCCAGAGGCACCATTATTTCAGGAGTTCCTTGGGTCCTCAGAGTTTTCTTTCTGTAGTCTGGAGCTGCATCTCATGCTCATTCCTCAGGTCCAAGCCGCTCTTGGGGAACTGTAGAACTGATGGGGTCAAAACAAAGACCAGCACTGGTTTATGGGCTCTGGAATTAATTCCACACCTGCTGTTCAGCATGCACAGGAGCTGATGGGCTGGGCAGGGGCTTTAGACAGGGTTACTCAAATTTGATTTTAGAGCCAGGACAATCAACAAAGACATTGTGAGGCATTAGCGACACGTCTGTCTCAAAAATTCTTTAAAAGTTAGGGCCTAATATATCAGTACCAGCCAAAAAGAAAAGGGAGAACTGTAGAGCCCTGTGAGGGGAAGGAACAGCCCAGGGTTGTGCCCTGGCACTGTGATGCACATCAGAGACAACGATGCTGTCACCCTCCATGCTGGGCTCATGTGCCAGGGGGACCCAGGTGTGATCTTACCCTGCTGGGCCAGCCCTGCTCGCCCTCCTGCCGCTCCAGCTTCTCGAGGGGCTGCTGGGCTGATCCCTCCTGCTGTCCCTCCTCCTCTCTCAAGCTGTGCTCTGTCCCCTGTGCAGGGGAAATCGGGTGAGATGGGGCAGCCTCAGCAGCCAGGTGTGTATTGGGAGCTCAGCCTACCTGTGCCTGCAGCTCCCTCCTGCGGGCTCTCTGCTGTTCCTCCTCCTGCTCCTTCTCCTGACGAGTCCCTTCCTTTGCCTCCTCGAGTTCTCTGATCAGCTGCTCTCGATACTTAATGGACTCTTCTTGGGCCCTTCTGTTTAACTTCATCTTCTCTTGGATCTGGCGCTGTCTGCCTGCAAGGACCTGTGCAAAGCAGGAGATGGAGGGAGAAGAGGGTTTAACAGTTCCCAGGAAACACACCAGACAAGCAGAAAAAATCCAGCCTGGTATGAAAGGCTCTAACTCTCCAGAGGGTGCTGGGTTACAAGTGGATTGATGGTTTAATTGAGCCAAGGGAGACACATCAGCAGTAGAGGTCATCACCTCACTCATCAGGCGATCTCTGGCCACCTTCTCTCTTTCCCATTCTTCTTCCCTCTTCTCCCATATTTTTTTTGCTTCTTCCCTAAAAGAGAGAGGAAGAATTATCTCTGAGGTTAACCCCCCTGTATACTCCACAGGCACAGACAAGCTATCCTGTGCTTTACAGAGGCCCTTGGGTTTCTCTTCAGGTTTGTTCCCTGCCAGTTGGTGTGTCCATCCCACCTGTGCCTCTCAGTGACCCTGACCCAGAACATTCAGCACTCTTCAGGTGAGGGTCAGAGGTGGGCAGACTCACCTGAAGATAGTCTCGAGCTCTGCTTCCCTCTCCTTTTCCAGCTGGAGCTGTTCCTCGATGACCTTCTTCATCCAGGCCACGTCTGCCACGTCCCGTTCCCGCCATGTGATCTGCCAGTGCTGATCCTCATCTTCTTTCTCCAGGAGGGCTGATAAGATTTGCCTGTCTGTCTCCTGGAGAAAAACCACAAGATTATCCAAACAGCCTTCCAGCCTGTGTGCAGGGCTCCTCTAGGAGCCAAGGATGTCAAGGATGTGCTCAGCAAGATGCTACATCTGCTGCTTCCCCGTGAACTTTGTGCTCCAGCCCTGTGCACAAGCTGGAAGGGGCCTCCTGATCTGTAGGAATCAGAGGCAGACACAAACCACACTTAAGTTTTTTCACCACACAGCATCTATAAAAGTATAAATTAATCTCTTACCAGCTCCTCCTGTATCTGCTGTGCTCGTCTCCTTAACTGGACATCACACTGATGCCTCAAAAAGCGACTGAAGGAGGAAGAAAGTAAAATTAAAAAACCAAAACAGTACCACACCGACTCTAAAGCAGCACATCATTGTACAGCAGCACTCGAGGAGGTACATCTGTGACAACAAGGAACCTGCTACCTGGAACAAAAAAGCACTAACAGCAGCACCAGTGCCTCTGCTCCTTGTCAGGCAAGTCCACCAAAACCCAGATATTTACAGCCTACCACTGCTACTTGGAATATTTCCTTGTGCCCCAAGTACTGCTGTGGGCACAGGAACAGATTCTATCCAAAACAAGTTCCACTTGGTGTCCTACCCAAGCTCTTTTTTTCTCCGGTGCTCTTCCATTTGTTTCCTTTCTTCTTCCAAATTCTCCAGCTCCCACTGCTGCTTTAATAAATTCTCTTGTTCCTTTTTCAGCTTTGTTGCCTAAAAAGGAAAAAGCAAGCACCAAAAGGGAGTACATCAGAGAGCTACAACATCCCAGAGAGCATGCTTGACCAGAGTTTGTACCCTGTTCTATTCCTCTGCAGGCAGGGAAAACCCTCCCTGCAGTGCAAACATAGAGGGAAGAGGTCAGGTCAGCCTTGCTGTATTTCCGAGTGAAGCAACAAATTCCTTTCTCAAATGAGGAGAAAGTCAAGATTACCTTTGTCTCCTGCAATTTCAGTTCTTCTATTTGCTGAAGCAATGTCTCTGCTTGCTGCTTCTCCAGCTGATGCTTCTCTTCCTCTTGTCTCGTTCTTTCCAGCGCTTCCCCTCGTGCCGTTTCGTACTCATTTTCATAACGTTTCTTCTCTTCAACTTTGGTCACCTCTTCCTTTCCCAAAGAAAAGAAAACAGCATTTCATGTTAGCCTGACACAAACAACTTCTGAGAAAATCCACAGAGCAGACTCCTGCAAGCTGGATGCCTTTGTAAACAGTGCCCTTCCTGGCAGCAGCTCCTGTGGCACAAGTGTCACCCCTTGACCTGCACACACATTTCAGTGTCCTCCCGGTCACCAGGACACCAGGGTGACACCCCATACCTTGTTTTGTTGTGTTAGCTGGTCACCCCAAGCCTCTCTCACGTGCTTCCTGTGCAGCTCTGACTCCGCCTGGAGATACAACAGATGCAGCAGGGCCATCAGTGCCAGAGGTTCTGTCCCCCAGGATCTTTCAAACTCTCCGGAGCACCACCTGGCCCTGAAATCCCAGTAGGATCTGTCTCTGCACAGGTGGGCTCATCTGAGTGTCCGAGTGCCCACCAGGTCCTGAGCTGAGAGTTATTGTCACATGGGAAACACCACAGTGTTTACAGGACTGCGGTGTTGGAGCAGCACAAGGTGGAATAAAAAATGAGGAAGCACCACAGTATGGCAGGTACAGCTGAGACATTAAGATTTATACTTTTTAGGTTATTTATATTTTATGCACCTGAGATATTTACATTGTGAGCTCTGAAAAATTGCTCAGTCTGAACAGATTTCTAACTTTTAAAAGTACAGCTTTGAGAGGGCTTCTTAAAACTATTTAAACCCTTAAACCCTTTCACTTTTTTGCCTTTTGTTTATCAGAACTTGGGGTAGTTGCTGTGATGGGAAATGTGACAACAGTAGAGATATGATGACTTTCAAGTTAAAAACTTGAAAATAAATACAAGGCAGCAAGGACTAAAAGCAACATCACCTCTCGGAGCTCTGCGTTGTTTTTGTTCCAGTGCTCGTGCAGCAGCGGCTCAGCAAACTGGGAACACAGAGCTGGGTCAGGTCAGGACACGGGAGTGCTCGGCATCCCAAACCCCGCCGAGGCTGACAGGGGTTCAGGGCACCAAGCGGTGGCAATTCCAGCAAGTCCCGCTGGTACAGCTGAAGCACGGGAGCGGCCCTTCACCGGGCGAGCCCCGGGATGCGGGACGAGCGCTGCCGGGCCGCTCCCTCACCTTCCTCCCGCACTCTCCGGGGCCGTCCCGCAGCTCCCGGCTCCGCATCCCGCCCCTCCGCCGCTCCCGCAG